ACCACGAACACTCCAGAGAATACTAAAGAATGAGCAACATTACCACCACAGAGAAAACCAAAGATTGATCAACATGAACACTACAGAGAATACTGAAGATTGAGCAACACCACAGAGAATACCAACGATTGAGCAACACGAACACCACAGACAATACTAAATATTGAGCAACACGGCCATCACAGAGAATACCAAAGATTGAGCGACATGAACATCACAGAAAATACCAAAGATTGAGCAACACGAACACCATAGAAAATACTCAAGATTGAGCAACACGACCACCACAGAGAATACTGAAGATTGGGCAACACGACCACCACGGAGAATACCAAAGATTGAGCAACACGAACACCACAGAGAATACTAAAGATTGAGCAACACGACCACCACAGATAACACTAAAGATTAGGCAACACGACCACCACGGGAAAACCAAAGATTGAGCAACACAACCACCACAGAAAATACTAAAGATTGAGCAACACGACCACCACAGACAATACTAAAGATCGAACAACACGAACACCACAAAAACACATTCGGTGATAAGTCTCATTCGGTGATGTCATAAATGGGGAAAAGAGAACGGGATTATATTTACGACAATTGGAACATACCTGTAGTCATCTGTAACACAGATATTCTATATCGATCAACCAACTCGTGGTGGTGTCCGTAAAACTATCGAAGGAATGGCTCCAACCTTACGACTTCCTTCAAAAGCTCCCTTGTATGCAGCAACCCTTTATCTAGGAAATCAGATATGGAACGTAAGCTCTGGAATATCGTATCAAATTGGAGTTTTAAACTCCACATGCTCCAAATGTAGGCGCTGCTACAATGTTGAATATCATGAATTTGCCGCAATACAGACTCTGATTTAAGCTACCTTTATTGTTAACTTCAAAGACTGTAACGTGACTTTTGTAACGTATTGTAACATCATATCATTATAATGCTATAGTGTATACAAAACGTCTTCAGTCAGTCTAATAAACAGAGTTTGAATACATACACACATCTTTCTATTTACACAAACCGAAGTACTAATCAACTAAAGCCAAACATTGATAGTTACTTAGAAATGGAAAGTTCAGAAATTGGAAGCTGAAATCATCCCTTTTGTTATCAAACCGACTCTCGTTGTCAATTTCGAAATGCAATTCAAGATACGAAACAGACTTAAATTTATCTGTGGTATCTTTTATTTCAAGTTCAATAGGGTAGATGGATTCAGCTTAGTCACCAGAATTTGGAATATTACGTGAGAAGACATCATCTATATAGAGGAACATGAAGATAAAGGCTCCTGTATGCAGTCGTTCTTATATGAATAGAAGAAAAGATACAAGAGGAACACAAATGTGCCGATATGATTGCTGATTGTTTGTTGAAAAGCACGTCATCCGAAAGTAACAAATTTGTTGTCAATCAGATAATTAAGCATCCTGAATGTCTGTTTCAGGTAATTTTGTTTGTTTGAATCCTAGTGGTTTATTTACAATAACATAAACGATACTTATTTTACTGCACCAGATGTGCATTAAGACAACGAACGTCTCATCAGTGATTCTCGAAGCCAACGTACAGATGGATGTAGTCCTAACCTGTACAAAAGTTAACTTAGAGCAATCATGACGATTACTCTCAAAGTTAACATTAGAAAACAGGTCTGCTGTTAACCTGTCCTGTGGACAAGTCTGTTATTTGACAGACCACTCATGTCAGTTATGTGGACGGGTCTGCTTTTTAATCGGTCCTTGTCAGAACTTGTTAATACATGTATGTGATGATATTCATCAATCAAAGCAATCATGTTTACTAGTTAACTTTGGATCATGTTAAATTTATCTTGGAGCAGACCAAACAAAGGTTTACTTTTATAGGAAGAGGTCTTGTTCGGACAGAGCAGTTCAGATCAATAACTGTTATTAAAAGCAACTTAACTTGTTTTTTATGACTGGTGGTCGCAAAGTTGACTTCATCCACAGTTAACTTCAATATTGTACTAGTCATTAAGTTTACTTTTCGGTCATAAAAACAGTCCTAGGACCAAGTGTACTTTTAAAGTTAACAAGAATTCTGTCAAAGGACCAGTCGGAGCAGTCATAAATCCTGTTCCAAGATAACTATCACTGGAAATAAATATAAAAATAAGGATATGTGGTATGATTGACAATAAAACAACTATCCGTCAAAGTTCAAATGAAGTGAAAGTCTGGTCATCAAGTTAACTAGCTGTACAGGTTAGGACTGCACCCATCTGTATTTTCAAAACCACGACTTACACGTACGTTGAATAGCAGATCAAACCAAAAAGGACTTAATGTGTAGCCGAATCCGGACAATGAATCAGAACTTTGCATTAGCGTAATATATATTCCTTAATATCAGATGATTTTTGGAATTGTCTAATACTAAATTTTAATAAAACATTATCCATATTTTCATGCCAGTATGGAAGTACTGGCTACTGGGCTGGTGATACCCTCGTGGGATAACGGTCCACCAACAGACTAAAAAGTATGCTTTTGCCATCCTAAAATAAGGTATTTGTATCTACCTTGACCATTTTATGAAACCAAGTTAGGTTTCTCAATTGAATTGTTTCATATTTTTTTTGTCTGGGCCTTTTATAGCCGACTATTCCGTATGGATTTTTCTCATTGTTGAAGACCGTACGGTTGCCTATAATTGCTTACATCCACTTCATTTGAACATCGGTGAATAGTTGTCTTGTTGGCCATCATACCATATCTCCTTATTTTTATAGAGGACTAGTTTTTTCATCTGTCTTTAGTTTTAGAATTGGTTATACTAGCGTAGGGTTAAGACGAAAGATGCTTACACTGAATGTGCTCTTCCTAATTGATCATTTAATTTTTTTTTCAATTTCTACAGTTGATTCACACCGCCCCTAAAGTAGTTAATTTCACAATAATTCTGGAGCTCGCCATTGATTGCTGATAAAATAGATGCTTATAGTTTTGAAAGAGTTTTCGTCGAACTCAGCAATATAACATTGACACCTATATAATTTCGGCATCCAGTACAATGAAAGAAGATCACGTTCTTCGTCTTTGATCGGAGAAATCGACTTTAATTTTTACATATCGTCGGAACGTAACGTATTTTTACATCTCGCATTGTAAAACGGACGCCTCTCTTAAGCATGGATTTTACTGTTGGGTGAGAGAACTATATTAATAATCCACTGGTATTTCATATAAAATTGTAATACAAGTGGGCGGTTTAAATTGCTTTAAAACCAGATTTAACGCACCATTTTCTCAAAAAAAAAGCCTGTACCGATTCAGGAATTAATATAATAATTGTTTGTCACTCGCTCCTTTGGTTGGTAACGTTTGATTTTGTCACTTTTTATGGACTTCCTCTTTTCGAATTTGCCTTGGAGTTTGGTATTTTTATTATACCTTTTTATATATATGTATGTTGTGTCCATATAACAAAACATATCAGCATAGTAATGAAAGTTCTTTGCTTAATTACATATCAAAGAGTATTATCTTAATTTTCAATAAACATGCCTCAACTAGTTTTATTGTCAAACGTTGATCCATCACTGTTCTGTGGGTCAGTGCTAATCATTGTTTGCAGCGAAAACTGGTAGAATATCAGTCAAATAATTCTGAACATTAGGAACTTTTCATTCTAATCGCAAAGACGAGTTAAAAAAAGAACAATCAGGACATATGTTGTTCACTTATGACATAATGAACTCTCAGTGGGTGATCAGGGAACATCAGTGGTTGACTACATGGGCACATGAATTCTGTTAGTAGAACTGTGGTTATTTAGCCATATGCTGAAGTCGTTTGCAGTTTTGCTGTAGTTTAGAAACACGATTAATTCAAGTCAGAATTGGAACGTTGAATCGACGCAATGAAGATGCGACGCTTTATTTACGCTGTTGAACCGTTGCAATATTTCTTTGAAGGGGTTGAAATTGAAATTTTGTAAGTCAAAATCCCTGCCTTTTATCCAACTTACAAGTGAAATACCGACTACCACTTTTCATCAAGCTCTTATTCCACTGACTGCACAGTATAGTTAAGCTTAATTCTATCTGGTTTGAAAAAAAGCATAGAATATTTGCTGTTGCAAATTTAGTAAACTCCAATATAAAATCAGTGTTCAATGCAGTTACCGTGTGTTTGCTTCCAAGTATTTTGATTGTATTTAGCGAAAAGTAAAATAACAAAAATACCGAACTCGAAGGAATTCATCTTAAGGTGGTACCAAACACCTTGACTAAAATTAATTTGGCTCGTTTAATTTTCATAAAATATTGACAAAATATTTGCTTTGACCCTTTGACACAAATATAAAAATTTCAAAAAAAAAAGAACTACACACTTTACCGGAAAAATTTCATTGGATATATATAGCAGTTTAACAAATGCTAATTTTGATCATTGAGAAGCTTAATATCTCCTGACCAATAGAACGTGATTAAAACGTTCAGCTGATTTTTACAGAGTTATCTCCCTGTAGTGTTATATACGACTTTAGTCATTCGAATTCAAAATATGATACAAGTGATGACAATCTACACTGTCTGTCCGTTCTGTCGGTCCACCCGCTTTTCAGATCCTATCAACTGATTTTTGTTTATTTATTCTGTATATTTTTTAAAAATATTTGAAACTGGACATTTAGAAATAACAATGAATGGATCAACATAATGACGAATGCAATGATGAATCGCTGTGAACTTTAAGGATGTGGAATATCTGTACCTTGAGGTATCAATGGAATAGTCTTTCCTTAACAATTTTTCGTTTGGTTTTGGAATATTGTACAGCAAAGAAATTAAAGGATATTCATATGAAAGTGTAAATAAAAAAGATGTAGTAGGTAACGAGGTAACACCGACACTAGGTTAAATTATATGACTTCAAAATAAAGGTTTATTTACTAGATATATATCTATCTATACCTTTGTTTGTTTCCTGTTTCGAAGAACAAGTTAACAATCCTATCTTCCAGCAAATGTCACAAACCTCATCAGAAATTTGTATAGTGAATCCAGGAAGAAAATAGTATGATATTATCAGGGAACAAGTTAAAACTAAATATTTCAAATGACAGTAAATATTAAGAGGAACAAAAGATGTTATGAACACGTTGATTTATAATCGAAATTCTATAAGATGAAGGATGTTAAATGCGTTGTTGTCGGTGATGGGTGAGTTATATTATTAGAAAGACGTTTAGTGTTTTTTGAATACTGTCTTTCATTATTTCAGTGTGAAAACATGTTGTGTGTATTTAACCTCGCATAAAAACCTTAAATTATTTTCTTGATTTATCCAAATATCTTTTTATTGAAAATTTAAATGAAATTCTGAAAGTAAGGATGATATAACCGAATAGTTCCCATAGTTTGTGTTACTGATTCTTGAAACAAAACCTTTCACTCAAAAAAATATGGAAATTTTGGAACTATACACGATTTTCTTCATGTGTCTATCAAAGCACAAAACAAGGTTATTCAATAATACAAATATGACGTTCTTTTTACTAGGATAATTCCCATGTGAAATACGCAGTTCAACGTGACCGAAAGGAAAAGATGACGTCATAACGTTGTGTGCACAAACCAAATTTTGATGACGTTTTCCGATACACCACGCAATCTTGTCATATTGCACAGTTTTCAATATGAATCGAAATAATTTATGTCTTTTCATGGTTTATCGTAGATTTAATCCTTGGTAAACCTTCTATTTGAGGAAAAAATGTACGAGGATATTGCCATAGCCGAATTAGGCACATCGTTTTGTAGAATTTTGCGGCCTGTAATGCTCTTCAAATTTTAATTTAATTTGGCTTCTGAACTGTTTTGATACGAGCACCACTGAGATATAGACAACAGTACCAAGTTATGAGGTTGGTATCTTTGATGAATTTCTACCAATGGTCAAACATCAAATAAACCACAATTTACAATAAACTTTAATATGACACAGGTGCTAACTATTGAGCTCTCTTTCAATAAATGAATTTTGCATGTTTGTTTTACTTTTCATCATACTTCAATCGCTATTTAGATATACAAATCGGCGGGAGATAGTATGCTCACCGTTGGTGTTATAAGATAGTAATTTCGCGAAAACGTATGATTTTTATGACATTTCATACATATTCAGAACAAAAGTAAAACCGAAAAAAAATCTGTTTCTCAATGTTTGTATAAGTTTTTCTTTACCATACTATATATCCTCTTGTACATGCTGTAGATCCTTCTACCATGTATGCTCATATCAAAAATACATTGTTTTCTTTTTCAGCAATGTTGGGAAATCGTGCTTGTTGATGTGTTATGCCACTAATAGTTTCAACGAAAATCATATTCCAACAATGTAGGAACACATTTTATTTTAACATCGAATTTACATGTACTTGTTAAAAAAAGGCCACAGTTATTTATAAATATTTCTTTGGGTTTGCTTGTTCCCATATATTTAATACTTTTTATAATAACAATTTTCATCTGTCACCAGCAAAAAAAAAAGTCGAAATGCATGGTTTGTTTTACTTCAAATAAGGCAAATTGAAAGGGAGATCCCAGGGAAGTTGAAAAAGACTGTCATCATTTGTACTAACTGCTTATCAAAGAAGACAAAAATTGTATTCAAGAAAAAAAATACCAAATTCTCTCTCAGTTTTATTGTTTTCTGTCATGGTTGAAAACAAATAAAATGCAATTGTTAAAGCTAAATTGTATTTATTTAATCTTACAAAGGGAAGGTGTCTTCCGTGTTGTATTTCACAGTAGATATTATCATTAATGTACCAAAGTTCATTTCCCGTCACATATTGATCTGGGTAAATGTCTCGGAAATACGTTTATCAGTTAATATAAATAAAACAAAAAATATTACGTATTCCCTCTGTATGACACCAGATCAATTATCTCAACTTTGCAAAATTTCAAAAAGCATAATGTTTTAGTGTTACCAGCTGACTTATCGTTAAAATGTATAACTTATTTTTAGAAAAATGTCGTTTTAATTCAGTTCACTGCAAACAATAATTATACTGAACGCTTATTTTGAAAAGGTTAATTGAAGTGTAAACTTGACCTTGACTAACAACCTTAACATAGTGTACAATGTGTAAAAACGGAGGACGACCCACTCATACATTGATTAAGGTCCGTATGAGAAAGGGAAATGACTGGTTTACACATTAATAAACTCCACAAAAGTAACTTTACATCCTTATGATTCCAATAAAATCCACTAAAATTTAAATATATGTATCGTAACCCTTACAAAAAAATAAAATCACAAAAATACTGAACTCCGAAGAAAATTCAAGAAGGAAAGTACCTTATCTAATGGCAAAATCAAAAGCTCAAACACATCAAACTAATGGATAACAACTATTTGTAATATTCCTGACTTGGTACAGGCATTTTCTTATAAGAATATATAGGAAATATAATATATAATATAGAATCATAAGTTCTTCTGTGGATTAATACAAGTAAGGAGATGTGGTAAGATTGTCAATGATACACAGTTCAAATGACGAAGATGAATTAAAGGTAACCGTACGGCCTTCAACAATGCGAAAACACATACCATATAGTTATAGCTATAAAAGGCTTGTGCACCTAACACATAAACTGCTGCAATAGAAATATGAAAAGAATAAAGGCAACAGTAGTATACCGCTGTTCAAAAGTCATAAATCGACAACCACTGAATTACAGACTCCTGGCGTTTGAGAGATTCATACGAAAGGGGGGAGGGGGGTAAATATGTTTGTGGGCACCGCCTACCTCCTCCATTTCCTCCAAACATTGTTTGGTGTTGTTTGTTGTTGTTGGAACATCTGAGGTTTTATCGGTGGATCAGATGTTGGTGGTTTGTGTTGGGTTTTGAACTGTTTCATATTTATTGGTAATTTTTTATCATGAACTTTATTTTACATGTAAACTGCTCAGGATAGTGTATTAAGAATATTCATTATAGATTAGTTGATAACTTTTACGTCATTTGGTCTCTGGTGGAAAGTTGTCACGTTGGCAACCAATATACAATTTTTTTAATTTTTACATGAAAGTGAACATGCATTATATATATATATATTCATTATAGATTTGATAATTATAAAGCAACTGTAATGGTGAATGATATTCCTGTAGAGTTAGGATTATGGGATACAGCAGGCCAAGAAGGTTACGATCGAATTCGTCCATTATCATATCCACAAACGGTAAGCGTTCCGGTCTATCTAGATTTTTCGTTCAAAAATAAAAGTTCTATAAAAATAAAAAGATGTGGTATGATTGCCAATTAGACAACGCACCACCAGAAACCAAACGTCATAGAAGCTAGCAACTATAGGTCTTCGTAAGCCCTTCAACAATGAGTGAGTGAACCCCAAACCGCGTAGAAACCAAAAAAGGCACCGAAATGAAGAACTTTAAACAATTCAAACGAAAAAACTAATGGTTTAAATTATGGTTTAAATTATTTACAAAACAATAAACGAAATAACAAAATGATATATAGCAACAAACGGAAAACCCGAATTACAGGCACATACAGAATGTGGCGGCGTTTAACATATTTACATGTGAATATAAAAATGAGGAAATGTGGTATGATCGCCAGTGAATAAATTCCACCAAATTCCTCAAATGAAGTGGATGTAAACATGTTTGCAGGCGCCCAGCACTCCCATAACCTAGGACAGTGGTAAAACATCACAATATAACAAACTGTAGTAATCAGTTCAAAAGGGCGTCACTCATCAGATCGATATAACGCACAAAAATAGCTGACAAAAACACAAAAGACACACAATAACGATCTTAGAGTACTCACAGTTATTGAAAGCTAGTTGAAAGCTAATAACAACTAATACAAATCATGTATCTGAGACTTAATTTAGTGTTAAGACGCCATTAACAGTTGAACATGTAGAATGGAAGTCTTAACTTAGAAACAAAATCGGTAGTATGATAGGTGACAATTCGGATCAAATTTTTATAGTTAATGTTTAGAAGATAATAATTTTTACAATTTGTAGTACATTTTTTTAATAGTTTTGATATTTACATAAATGATTCATTTAAAACAGTTAAATAAATACATGTACCTTGTGATAAACTATCAAAAATCAATTTTTTGAGATTTTCTTACAAAAAATGGACGAGCAATTTTCTTAAACATGCCATGAAAATCTAGAGGTTCCCCCAATTAACAAATTAACATGTCACATTACAATGATTAGAACATAATCATTTTACAATTGTCAGGTAATTTGTTTTTCTATTTTTGATATTTACATAAATTATACACAGTCCACAAACATTAAACAGAAAATAGATAATTGAAAAACGCAAACCCATCCAAAAAACAGGAGATGTATTCGGGTATTTTAGGGGAAGGTTGCGCAGTTCTGACTCCATGTTATGTTAAAGACAGGCCAAAATTCTGTATGACGTCGCATTTTCTGATGCCATAAACAAAACAAGAAGACCGGGTCGTAACTGCAACATACAGAACATATCCAAGGTCACCTACGACACATATATTCGGTCAACAAAATCCTTATGTCGTCTATAAATTTCATTTTAGATAACCTTTTATTCACCTTGTAATTTTGTAAACACGCATAGCCCCAACATCTCATCTAAGTCACATTTGTCCAATGATACAACTCATTCGTGTTATTTAAGAAATCGTGTTGTTTTATTTTGTTTTAACTTAAAACTTTGTAGGTTTGTTTTTTCTTTTAGTTGGCAGTCGTAGTTTTAGTTTTCGGGACAAACATTATTTTTCAACTTTATTCAAAACAATTTTTGTAAGAAAATTTAGTAACATATTTTTAAATGATTATCTTTAATTTTTGGTAATTTCATTTAAAAGAAAACTATTTTCTCATCACCCGATTGAGCAAAAAAGCTTTAAGGAATTGAGAATGAAACAATGTATTCATAAAAATTAAGAGTCGCCCATAAAAGTCTTGTCGTCTTTGTCTTATTGCATACGACAAGTAGAAATTGATGATATTACATTAAGTGACTACAAAGCGTTCACAAATGCGAAAAGAGACATTTAATATACACAAATAGATAAGCGTCATGGTTTTTAGATTGCACATACCGCAAACGCAGCGAAGCTGGTTGTCTAATTACGGTTATCGTCTAAAGCTTCTATGCAAACATCACATGAAATGCATAATTAGGCGGAGTTTAGGTGTAGCATGTAACTTAATAAACCTTAGAACAGATTAAAAAGATATATCTGCATAACTATTATTTTATTTTCAGGATGTATTCCTTTCGTGTTTTTCAATTGTTTGTCGATCAAGTTTTGATAACGTAATTCACCAAGTAAGAAATTAAAGCTACTTTTACTTTATTCCTACTTAGCGAAACAAGGTGTATTGAGATCATTGTGTCCTTTCCGTCTGCATAGTTTAAAGTAAACCAGTGACTGATTTTTAATGAATCTTTAGATGAAAGTTTTAGATACAAAATCATTTTGTGTACCTAATTTATCAATTTAATTCTTATCTGAATTTTATTGCAAAACAGGGACTGTCATATATATTTCTGCAAATGGAGAAATAGGCGAATTATTGGCTCACACCTGTTCTAGCCCTTGATTATGTTCTATATAAAAACCAAGGTTGTCGTTTGTTCATGTCTGTCATATTTGTTTTTAGTAAATTGTTTTGTCATACATTACGCCGTTAGTTTTCTTAATTGAATTATTTAATATTTTTCATGTCGGGTGCTTTTATAGTCGACTATACGGTATATAGTTCTCTTATTGCCGTACGGTTGCCTATACTTGCTTACATCCACTTTATTTCAATTTTGGTGGATAGTTGTCTCATTGGCAATCATACCAAGTCTCCTTATTTTTATATTTATCGACAAATACAAATACATTGTTGTATGTCTATATATATATATTTATAGTTTTTCTCTTGGGCTTGTTTTATATCTGCTTATGAGTTTATATGATCCATTCATCCTATTTTGACTCCTCAAAATTCAAGAGTCTATCATAAATTGAGGTAAATTATATGGCCTTCCAAATACCGTTTCGATTCCTAACATCACTGAAGAGACATAAATTGTCGAAATCCGGATATGATGTACTTATTTTTGCACCTTTTGTTTGCGGTATACCATCTTTTCCGTAGGTTTATTGTTTTCTGTTTGGTATTAAATTAATAGTTAAGATCCATTTTGTTACATCTGGTGTTCAGTTTATTTGGCAATTGCCAATGGCAGTCAGCAGGGTTTAAGAACATCCGTTGTTCGCCTGCTAGTCAAATGCGTTTTGTTTAAAAATACTTTTTCACTCTTTTGGTCTTTTGGAAAATGTTGTGTGTGCTGTAATTAGACCCTCTACCAAGAAATTTGTTTTGCATACACACGTATAATAATTGCGGTTTTTATCAAACCCAATCATAGGTTTGAACGTTGTTTTCAATTTAGACTTGTATATATATATATATAAGTACGTCTGAACCAGTGACGACACTACAACAGATTTTATCCATCGGATCACCAGCAGTGATAGTGATAGTGATACAAGGCTGAAAATACTTTCTGTATATATATAATTCGTTTAAATAATAGCCCAACAATGTTAGATCTGTATACATATATATATATATATATATATATATATATATATATATATATATATATATATATATAAGTACCTCTAAACAAGTAACAACTCTACGATCCCGGCGAGGGAAGAACAAAAAATTGCTTTCGCAAATTTGCAGATTTAATATTGTTGTGCTGATATTTAGAGTAATTATGTATATATAGCCCCTGAGATAATCACATATCAATGATGTCGGGTAAATCAATATGGATTACAACAAATGAAACAGTAATCATTGTGACATAATTGTCTTAATTTTTTAAAACCCAAATAACTTCAAATCGCAGCCAAACAAAATGTGTAACATGTTCAGTTATGTTGAAGTTTTGAAGCTTTTTTCTGTTACAGTGGATTCCTGAAATCAGACACCACTGCCCAAGAACACCAATCATTTTAGTTGGCACTAAGCTAGACATTCGAAAAGACAATGGACCAGAAAATTCAAAACACATTGAGAAAAGTAGTGATCCTGTATCATTCAGTGAGGGACAAACTTTAGCAAAACGAATAGAAGCTGTAAAATATGTAGAATGTTCTGCTAAGACTCAAGAAGGGCTTCAAGCTGTGTTTGAGGAGGCTGCAAAGGCTGTGTTATTTCCATCTAAGCACAAACCACAACATAGATCATGTATTTTATTATAAAGATTGCTCAGAATAATATGATATGTTTAAATTGTATACAGTGTTAAAAATACCATTGAAAGTTTATCATGTGACTAGAGAGAAAAAAAAATAAGATTGTACAAATATATTGCAATGGCATCTCTTTCTTTTGATATGATTTAACTGGTTTATCATTTAGAGGCAAATCCGTAACAGTGTGGACGACACCAATACTTTTGTTGTTAATAATAGCGAATAATTTCCCTTTAACTTGTTTGTCATCGGCTATCGATAACAATGATTTTACGCTCATACATTCTGTCAGAGGCCTTCCAGTTCGGATGTCAATAATCACTTGTTTCACATTTCGATACCTAAAATTAAACTTTCTTTCATCAAAATGTAATAGAAATTTGTTTTAAACATTCTTTTTGTCATCACAACCAACAGTTTCTTTTGAAATAACAATAAATATGCAGAGCTAATATCCTTGAATTAAAGAAAAATATATTAAATGTAAAACATGTCGATTTTTATTTTTTTTAGAAATCAAGTTTATAGGATTATTTCACAAAAAAATATATTACATAGAAGAAAATACTCCCACGTCGTCAACATTTAAGATTAACCTACCGTTTATTTAATGGACAAGATTTGTTTGTGAAAAGAGCCCAGAATAATGAAAAAAATCTTCCTATTTTTCGCATGACACATCATTTGAATCGTTGAGTCATTTAAAAGACTCGTACGGTCAGTGTGCTTTGAATATTCAAGAATATTAGAGTATACTTTTCTATTTGTAGATTGGAAATGAATGAATAAATAAAAAATTAAAAACAAATGCATTATTTTAAAACAAACACTGATACATGGAAGCATTAGAATGTTAAATATTGAATACCCGTATAAGCAAATCAGATACTGGTCCAGGATTTTGAAAAGGAGGGGGAAAACTAATCAACGTTAGGGGTGGTACAAGTAAAAAGTCTATGCATTAACCATATATGAAGCTCCATAAGGGGGGACAGCATCCCCCTCATTATTCCGCCTCTGGAAATGTCCCGACCTGTTTAATGCAGAGTTGAATCACAAAATTCTATGTCTAGGTTAGTCTATGAAAAGGTATATAATATGAAATTTAGAGCGAGGGGCTTGCCCCAAGTTCTTAATTTCATAGTATATACCTATTCATAGACTATCCAATTTAGCACATATTTACAACTCGAGTAATCTTGTGTCACAGGTGTTTGTAAAACGGAGCTCATTAACGAAGTTTGTAAATCTACTCACTAGTATCATTGTTAAATATGTGATTTCAAAAGGCCCTTGACTCCAGAATGAAAAGATGGTAGCTGCTGATGTAAGTATATTTATTGATATAAAGCAGTGTTTTACTATACATGTATTTCTTTATATGGTTAGATGACAAATTAAATTGACCAAAAGCAGGCAATAATTAAATTGCAGTGGAAGCTTGAAAACATTTTTCAATTGAAAAATCCCCTTTTTTGGACGATCAGTACTTTTAAATGGGGACATATGGTTGGAACCCCCCCCCCCCCCCCTTATCCTGGATTGGAACTCACCTTTTAATAATGGCTGGATCTGCCCCTGGTATGTCCCCATAGATAGTGTAGGGAATAGTCATTAAAAAACAACTACCAATAGATCAAAGATACTAGGGTTTATGTTTTTTTTTTATTTCAAAGTAAAAACTAAAAGATTTATCAGAACATGTATATATATGTATATAAGTCGCACATTCTCTTCAGACATTATTACGGTTTTTTCAATTCATGACATCGTCCTGAACATGCATGAAATATTTGCCACTGGACATTAAGCAACAAATAATCAATCAATCAATCAATTTATCATGTTTATGACGAAATAAATCAAGTTGCCTTAATTTCCCTTCACAAGGTTTCATAGTACCCATTTTTTTGTGTACAAAGTAATTGCATGGATGATAAATTATCACAATTTTAAGATGGCGTTGTACTCTTATCAAGGTATGAAGAACCATATTTGTTACTCTTTCTTTAAATGAAAGAAACTTACAATCGTCAAAAATTTTTTTTTAGATCCAAAGATTTTAATAGTAGGATATTTAAAAATCAATGTGAAAACTAAGTACCAACTATTTAACTTAATTTGGAACACATCATTTTATTTCAAAATAGCCAGTGGCAATTTTTGTTTTAATATCTTGATTACGATATAACGAAATCTTAACCTTGTGGTCCTTCATGCGTAGTTAATTAGTACACGGGAAAAGTGTGTACTATGAAAATACGAAGGCAAATTCAAGCAATTTGATTGGACGAGAAGTTGTAAGTATGTGTTAATAAAGAAATGTACTTACATTTTTTTTTGTAATCTATTCATGCATTAAATAATGTGTTCACAATATCTAAGTAGTAGAATGTATAATTACCAAAAGCCTCATACTAAACAGATTAATTGTAACACATAGGTTTTAACACGGTTACGAGTTTTGTTTTCGTAAAAACTACAAATTATCAGGTGTTGCAGTTCATCAGATCTCCGTTTGTTATTTTAATCTGAGCATTCAACTTATGCTTTAATAAACGAAGACACAAAAGCAGAAAAACACGTGTTCTCGATAAAGTATGTAGTAGTCCATCATGCATTGCAACTCATTCAATGGATTGGTCAATTCTCCAAGGCAATGAATATAGCTTATTATGCAAACAAACAATTATATAAGCGGGAATGTTAGTATGCCAATGAATGATAGTGTACTAGATATATATTTTTTTAAGCTGTCCTCAATCATTCAGAAAAAAGTGACAATCCTAATTAATTTCAGTTTAGAATTAGGGACAAAAAAAAATACGACACTGAGATTAAAAAATATTGATTCTGTGTGATCATGAGAAAACAACCAATGCCCCGCCCCCCCCCCCCCCCCCCCACCCTTTCCCCCCTAAAAAATGAATTAAAATAAATTAAAATAAAACGCACACATTGAACAAATGAATGGTATGTGCGTAATCAATGAATTCAGAGAATAAGGTTCTGCAACAAGGCATTGGGTTTATATCACGTTGAGTGGTTAGCAAAAAGATTCCACTTTCCCATTCATCAAACTATAATGTATTATTCTAAATAATCTAGTTCGAATGTCAGTCAGTGGAACGTTGGACTATCTAATTTGAATTCTAGCTTTTTAGTAAAAAGTAAAATCACAAAAATACTGAACTCCGAGGAAAATTCAATCGGAAAGTCCCTAATCACATGGCAAAATCAAATGACAAAACACATCAAACGAATGGACAACAACTGTCATATTCCTGACTTGGTACAGGCATTTTCAAATGTAGAAAATGGTGGATTGAACCTGGTTTTATAGCGCTAAACCTCTCACTTGTACGACAGTCTTATCAAATTTCGTTATATTTACAACGATGCGTGAACAAAACAGACATTATAAATAAAATAGTCAAAATATGGGTACAGCAGTCATCACTGTGTTACAATATCAAAACAAACAATTATTTACAAAAAAAGCACAAAAGCATCTATCAAATTAAGACCCACATTCATTGCTTCGCGTGTCTGACGTCAGAAAATGTAAACGTCACATAAGAAAAAAGTTTGTCATTCAATGTCTATTCAAAACAATTTTATAATTTCACATGGGGAATGTTGGTATACAGGGTTAAAAAATCAAAAGTTATGTTAGAATTAATTTCAGAAATAGACCGAGATTTATAATTGTCCAGAAGTTCTTCAGAACCCTTAAGAATCCACATATGGTAAATACCACTACGCGAGTAAAATAAATTTGTCGTTTGTCGTTCAAAGTATTTTCAAATTTATAATAGAACAATAACATAATGACATATAATAGAACAATAACATAATGACGGGATCTTTTAAAGTACAGAGTCACGTTATAAGAACCACAGAAACACAAAAAGTCGCATATACAAAACACACCAGTAAAAATTAAAGATAATACAAACACATTGACGGGATGTATAAGTACCTAGCCACGTCAAATGGATATCACAGAAAACAAACCAAACAGTAAAAGTAATATTAATAATAGAACAAAGACAAATGAAAGAACAATATTACACGTTGTTAAGATGATAAACAACGTCAGTATGCAGAATCTATACTTCAAGACCATCATGTATTGTTTGTGAAGTTGATACGGAATATTTATCAACAAGGTCTTGGTACCTTCCGATGAACTTTTTTAGAAAAAGGACGAGACGTTCTTTGACATACCCCTGGTTCATCAACTTTCTGCTCAGACACTGGTGACGTTTTACAAAGTCTGAATAAGAGCTGCAAGCTCTTGAATATCGAATAAGTTGGGAAATGTAAATAAATCTATTCAACAATTAAATAATTCAAAATTTGGTGATTATGTTGAACGCATCTATCCCATCGAACTTGAGATAACGGATACAACAGATACAGTTAAGTCGGCCTCATATCTTGACTAACATCTAGAAATTGACAACGAGGGTCGGTTGAAAACAAAACTTTAAGGCAAAACAGATGATTTCAGCTTCCTAGTTGTAAACTTTCCATTTTTATGTAGCAACATTCCAGCAGCGCCTGCATAATGAGTATATATCTCCCAGTTGATACGCTATTCGAGGGCTTGTATTTCCTATCATGATTTCCTTGATAGAGGGTTGCTGCTCACAGGGAAGCTATTAAACCAAGAGTTTCAAGTGGTGAAGTTAAAATCATCCCTTCGTAAATTTTACGGACCCCATCACGAGTTGGTTGACTGTTACGGAATATCCGTTTCACAGATGATAGCGGATATGCTGCAGAGTCGTAACTACAATCCCGTCCTCTTTTCCCGAATGTGACCTACCGAATAAGACTTATTATCGGGTTTGTACTAACATGAGCAACACGACAGGTGCCACATGTGGAGCAGGATCTGCTTACCCTTCCGGAGCGCCTGAGATCACCCTCAGTTTTTGGTGGGGTTCGTATTGCTCAGTATTTAGTTTTCACGGTTGTGTTTTGTGTACTATTGTTTGTCTGTTGGTCTTTTTCTTTTAACCATGGCGTTGTCAGTTTATTTTCGACTTACGAGTTTGAATGTCCCTTTGGTATCTTTCGCCCCTCTTTTAATTATATTTAGATATTGGATTTGAAGATTCCTATTTCATAAAGCAAATGTAAATTGTATCAAGCTAGGTACAAATACGTGTAGTTTTTTACTGTCCTATATTTTGCAAGAACAAAAAAGACCGTACGAAAGCATATTTTCTTAATTTTTTGCACCACGAGTTAAAGTTTACCATGCATTCGTTCTAAAAATAAATACTTTTAGACAAGATAAAAGTTGGAAGATACGAAGAGCCAGTACAAATTTTAGAAAGCGACAATTGTAAAATCGCTTTGAAATCCGAAACATTCATTACTACTTTTGAAGCTAGTGAAGTTTTATTTTAATGTTTAAAGAAGGTGCGATATGATAAATAATTTGATTATCGATTGTCGGTGACGAATGTCAAAATTGTCAAAGTTATTCAATACGCCTGTAGTACTTTTTTCGGGTGTTGAGAAACCTTTGGTTGCCCCGTACGTTTAAATGTCCCTTGTAAAAACAACGTATTAAGTTGGCGTAACAGACAAACGGTTACCTGATCTGACATAGTCAATTAGAGAACTGAGCGCGCCAACGAATGGTCTCGTCATCACTGTTATGAATTTGATAATAAACCTTATTAATCGATGGGTGTTATGTCGATTAAAATGAAATTATGTCGATGGAGCATCTTCCAATTAAGGA